AAAAAAATCGAAAATGAAAATTTTTGCATCTCTCTACGTTTCAAAACCTTCTGAATATTTTGGCATACCGCAGAAAAAATAATTATGTGTGTGTGTGCGGATACAATTATGCGTTGACGATTTCGAGAACACGGATTAACTGATTTGAATAATTAAAAAAATATTCGATTCGTCTTGATAAGGAGACGTGCTGTTTAGTTTTTGGCGAAGGCAGGTCTAACCGCTCCGAAGATTCGGGGCAAAAAGTGCCAAAAACGGTAACTCAGTTTTCAAGAGAACGGAGCGTCCGATTTTATTTGTATTGACTAAATGAAGAACAGTTTAAATTTTTGGAAAGGAAGATGCAACGACTTCGGAGATATGGAGAAAAAAGTAAAAGAATGAGCCATTTAGCGGTCAAAAATGATCATTAGACATATGCACATCAATTTATCAGATATTTCATAGAGATTTTAACAATAAGTATAAATTTTGTTTACATTCCTATCGGTTCCGTACCAATGTTTATCCGTTAGACGGCGGCGCAGCACTTACGCGCTTCGATATTTCGTTTCTATGCAGTTAAAGCAGTACGATTGCTTTGAAAAAAAGTTCAGAATTTCCAAAATATTTCAAAACAAAGAAAACATTTCTTTTTTCAAAAAGTCTTTTTTTCTAAAAGTTTCTCTAAAATCTATTTTTTTCAGAGTAATTTTTTTCAAAATTGTTAATTGTTTTTAAAAAAATAATAATATTTGGTACGCAATTTGCCTTAAGGCACGATGCCTTAATTGCCTTAAGACAGAATTCCACTTACAGCTAGTTTTGTATACATTTTTTGTCCGTCTTCTTTTACATTATATTAGCAACGGAACGTCTTTAGCGCGGAATGTACCCGAAGATAGATAGAGAGAACGCGGCGGCCGCGCTCGGCGCTCGGCGACCGCACGGCCGCCAGACTCGGCCCAAGTCCCGAGTGCTGTCTCTACGTCCTTGTCCCCTCTCTCGTCGAGGACATGGAACAGTGACGTAGGGTAGGGAGATGATAATCAAAGAAAAATAAGTAGTATTTATCTACCCTTTCTGAACATTTTGGCATGCCTTAGAAAAAATGGATGTATGTGTGTGTGTGTATGTTTTTTCTCAGTTGAAGTTAACTAGTGGGCACGGCATAGTGCCTTAAGGCAAATTGCTGAAACTTTCGAGGCCGTAATTTAAATGTTTCAAAAGCTTTAAAAATTTTTGAAAAATTTGAAAAAAATTGACTTTTTTTTAATTTGAAATATTTTTTTATATTTTGAAATTTTATGAAGCGCGTTTAAGGCTTTACATTTTTACAGAACGCGTAGAAATCTAAACAAAATTTATACTTATTATTCACCGTTCTCACCCGAATGCCGCCGTCGACAAAATTCATATAAATCTCGGAATTCGCGAGTGGAAAGGGTTAAAATCTTTATAAAATATCTGATAATTTGATATGCATATGTCCATTGATCATTTTGTTCGCCAAATGGCCTTCTTTAACTTTTTTTATTAGATCTCCAACGCCTCTAGACTACCTGCCTTCATAAAAATTTAATCAGTTTTTTATCTTGTTAATACAAATAAAATGTTTTTTGAATCATTCGGAGCATACGCTCCGTTTTCTGAAAGACTGAATTACCATTTTGGCACTATTTATACCATATCTTCGAAACGGCTCGTCCTGCCTTTGCCAAAAACTAATCAGCACGTCTTAAGGCTCATGTTAAAATGTTAAAAAATAACTATTGTTAAACGAAAGTATGAGTAAATGAGATTTATTTCTAATCAAATATTTACACAAATTGTAATAGACAAAAATTACACAAGTTAAAATAAACAAACTCTTCGGCAAAAATAGTTTGTTCTCCAAATATTAGAAAAACAATGAAATTAAATAATTATCCCGAAGAAGTTTATTTTTTGCCAAATCATTCGATTAGTTAATTTTATAATATCTCGATCGTTCAAGTCTTTTTGAATGAAAATGATTGAAAACTTAATTAATAACTATTAAACAAAATTTCGCAATCTACAATTGATTAATTTGATTAAAAAATCTATAATCATGATAATTTGAGTACACATAGAATGCCATTACCGAAAAGCTCGGCCCAATATTTCAAAATTTAATGAATTTTTATAATTAATCACTTATCGTAGTTCCATAAAATTTATGTTAGTTTAGATTATAATTTTTATCTCTGTACAAAGTTTTTTTTTTAAGAAAAAAGATTTTAAAGAAAAGATTTCTATAATTAATCACGAAGAAAACGGCACGGCTGATCTTTACAAAAAACTAATCAGCACGATTGCCAACTGAAAACTTTCGAACAGTTTTTGAATTTTGAATTTGGTACAAAAATGTTGAAATGCCGGATTTTTTAAGAACCTTTAATTTTTTGTCGACGATATTTATTTATTTATTTATTTTATTTATACAGTACAATTGTACAATTGTAGATATCAATGGTACATAACTTAAATTAATAGATAACATACTATATTAAATGAAATATAATTTACAAAAAAACAAATGTTCACTTGAAATCTTATTCTAATTTTCACAGAATAGTTTACTGAAAATTATAATTTAAATACTCATCAATAGAGTAAAAAACTTGCTCTTTAAAAAATGTATTGAGTAGTTTATAAAATTTCCTATTTTCAACTTCTCTAATACCTAGTGGCAGCTTATTGTAAAGCATTATGCCCAGACCATCTAAGGTATTAAGGTATTATAAGATATCAAAGCGGATCTGAAAAAATGATTGAAAAAACATTTGATTCGTGTTGATAAATTGGCAAAGGAGGTGCAAAAAAAGTTTCAATCAATTTGGTGATGCAGTTTTTGAAAGAACTGATCATTTGATAAATGATTTGAAAAATATATTGCTTGTGTTGAAGGTGTGAAACAATGATTAGTTTCCGTACCAATGTATATCCATTAGACGGCGACGCGGCGCTTATGCGTTTCGATATTTCGTCTTTATACAGTTAAAGTAGTACGATTGCTTTGAAAAAAAGTTCAGAATTTCCAAAATATTTCAAAATAAATGATTTAAGATAGAATGATTAAATATGGTTCGAAAATCTATTAAAAGTTTCAAATCATTGATCAACTTTTATTGATTATTTTTAATTACTCGAATTTTGAATTGCGGTACGGGAAGTTCCAGCAATTTGCCTTGAGGCACGATGCACTAATTGCCTTAAGACAGAATTCCACTTACAGCTAGTTTCGCACAATATCGGCGGAAGCAGTGTGCGTCATTTCAGGAACTGTGCCTCTCTTAGTCTTAGCAGAGGAAAGACGGACAATTTACCATAGAAGACATCAACAACTGAGTTCTGAAAAGTTAAGATTTGAAGAACGGCAGAGCAGCATTGACCGATGGCAGCAACTGTGGGAAGTCATGCTGCTTGGAACGCCATAGACAGATTTGCGAGAGACGTTTTAATGGACCTGCGTTCTATAGAAAGAAAAGGGACGAATGGGACTTTGCCCATTTAAAAGATAAGTATAATGTTTATGAATTATAAAATTGATTATAACAAGTTAAGAATTTATATCATTCTAGATCCTCCCCCCACGAAGTAATGCCTAACGGCGGTTTCCGTGGGGAACAGAGGCAAGGGCAAAGCGGAGGTTTTAGTCGGTATTATACCAGGGCGGTATCGAGTCCGACATACCCAGACAGAAGACCGGCCTAGAGTCTCAGAGAAGACATCCGAGAGCAAAGGGTTAACTTATACAGATATCTAAGCTCTTTTTAAGCATGTTAAGTACTTAATATATAGCAAATAGGTAATCGAGACAACGGCACCCTCTGCTTGTAGATGTTATAAATGTCTAAGACGTTGGAGCTTAAAAAATCCTCTGAGAGTCATATCATATTCATATATATATATTAACCCTTTCGACTCGGATGCCGCCGCTCCGGCGGCATAGTCATTTTACCGTTGCGCTCGGATGTCGCCGCTCCGGCGGCATGATATGTTTTACCGTTAAGCTCGGATGCCGCCGCTCCGGCGGCAAATCGTGTCGGCGACGACTCGTCGCAAACTAAACTTACATTTACTTTTTTTTATTTTTTAAAAATTAATTTACTATTATATTCATTTATTGATTGATTTATTAATTTTATAAATAAATATATAACAAAATTAATTTATTAGCTCATGATCCCCATAATTTCAATAAAGATCTGTGAAGAAATGATTTTTTAAAAAATATAGCATGGTTTTGAGTGCAATTTTTTTTAATTTTCAAAATTTTCTATTTTATTATCATAATAACTATATTTAAAAGCAATATAACCACATTTTGAAAAAATCTGATACAAAAAAAAAATCCGAGTTGAGAGATAAGTATAGCAATATAATATTTCGAGCGCAGCGTACCGACTGGCAGTCCGACTCCCGAGTCGAAAGTGTTAACTGTACATATTTTTAACGCAACAATTCAATTATCGACGCCTCTGCGTCCGCATCGGCCGCTCCGCGCGTCCGTTGGATCCATACGAAATACTCGTCTCGTACGTCGTACATCGGCGCTGTATCTGCTGTTAGCTGCGCTCGCCGAGCGTTTTATCCGTTTCATCGTCGGGGTGCGCGTCAACTCAACCGACCGACCTACCGACCGGCCGACAACAGAACGACCGAGCGACCGTTGAATCCGCCGATCCGCCGACCGTCTGGCATGCGTCCTTCTCCGTCTATCGCGCCGCCCGGAGCGAGAGCGAGGCGTTCGTCTCGCCGCACCTCATCGCTCTTCTCTCCATACTATAGATTCCTATGAAATACGCGCGGCGCGGCGCGGCCGCCCGGCCGCTCGATGAGACACAGACATAGGAGCCACGGTCGGCGCGAACGATCGAGTCAGTGAGACGCGGTCCGTTCGACGCTGAAGAACGTTTGTGCGCCGCTCGGAGGAAAATCATATAAATAATATAAATAGACACTTGTGTCAATTATACCGCTTGTGTCGATTGTATCTTACTGCGGCGGTTCGATAAATTGATTCGTTGAAATTAGCGCGAAAGCGTTTGCCGTTCGTTGGGAGTAGTTGCATGCTGACGACGCGTTCACGCTAAAGGAGAGGTACGTATGGACGTGACGCGACGCGCGATACTGAGAAACACGTCATCGTAATAATGATCAGACGACATTTTTGTATTTATAAAATCGAGTCATGTTTGTAGAAAAAATGCCGGCATAAAATAAATTAATTGCTTTATAATGATTTAATTGCTTTATCGTAATGAGTCAAATTGTGGCAACGGGTGCCAATATAGAATATTTTTATACGAAACGTCCCGGAGACGTTTTTACATTTATATAAAATACGCATTTTTTTAAGAATAGCGCAAACATAACAACGTGCCTTGAGGCAAATTACTGGAACTTTCCGTACCGAAAATTAAAATTTTTAAAATAGCTTTAAAATTTTTCGAATACTTTGAAAAAATAGATTTTTGAGAATTTTGAAATTTTTGAAAAAAATGTCATTTTTGAATAATTTGATTTTTTTATATTTCGAGATTTTTTGAAAATTTGGAACTTTGGGTATCAGAACGCGTAAGCGCCGCGTCGCAGGCTAACAGACGACCATTGATACGGAACACATCTAAATTTAAACAAAATTTATATTTATTATTAAAATCTCTATAAAATATCTGATAATTTGATGTGCGTATGGCTAATGAACATTTTTGACCGCCAGATGGCATTTTTTTTACTTTTTTTACTAGTTCTCCGAAACCGCTAGACCTGCCTTTATGAAAATTTGATCAATTCTTGTCAATACAAGTTTTTTGAATTATTAAAATCGGACGCTCCGTTCTCTTAAAAACTGAGTTACCATTTTTGTCACATTTTGTCCCGCATCTTCGAAACGGCTGCATCTGCCATTGCCAAAAACTAATCAGCACGTCTCCTTATCAATAGGAATAGAATCATTCAAATCGGTTGATCCGTGTTCCCGAAATCGTCGATGAAAATTTGTATCCGCACACACATACATATACGCGCACACACATACATACATACATACGCACCAACATACATCCATTTTTTCTAAGGTATGCCAAAATATTCAGAAAACTTAACAGAACGTAAAATTAAAACTTTACAGAACGTAAAATTATATAGAATTTTTCATTTTCGATTTTTTTGCAATTATAGTACTTACCCTAGGAGAAATTAAAAAAATAGATTTTTGAAAATTTCGATTTTTTTTTAAAAAAAATGTCTTTTTAGAATAAATTGATTGTTTATAATTTCTTGATTTTTTGAAAATTTTGATCATTTTTCCAAAGTATTCGTAAACGCGATGCGAAGCTATTTTAGAGATTATTATCAGAGCGCGTAAGCGCCGCGTCGCAGACTAACGGATAAACTTATTAAATTTTGCACTTATTATTAAAATCTCTATAAAATATCTGATAACTTGATGTGCTATGTCTAATGATCATTTTTGACCGCCAAATGGCATTTTTTTACTTTTTTTATTGGATCTCCGCAACCCCTAGACCTGCCTTCCTAAAAATTTTATCAGTTAATCAATAAAATATTTTTGAATCATTCAAATCGGACGCTCCGTTCTCTCAAAAATTGAATTACTATTTTTGGCACTTTTTGCCCCGTGTCTTCGAAGCGGCTGGACTGCCTTGGCCAAAAACTAATCAGCACGTCTCCTCATCAATAAGAATCGAATCGTTTCTGAAATATTCAAATCGGTTGACTCGTGTCCTCGAAATCACACACAAGCACACACACACATGCATACATCCATTTTTCTAAGGTATGCCAAAATTATCAGAAACTTTTGAAACGTAAAGATATATAAAAATTTTCATTTTGATTGCGTTTACTTAACTTAACCAACGCGAAATTAATAAATATATACAAACACACACACACATACATTCATTTTTTCTAAGGATGCTATAATGCGATTACTATAACTTACCCTAACGAAAGTTAAAAAAAAAAAACGATTTTGCACTTAAAAATTTTTTTGAGTCTCACAAACCAACAGTTTGAATTCTATCCAAAAATGAAAATTTAAATAATAAATGTTTTACATAATAAATCATTATAAATTTTTTTTGTTATCCAAAGGATTGTTTTACGTGCTCATTGCACCGAAATGCATGAGCTTGTCTTTAGCACCATCAATACGAATCAAATGTTTATTACCAAAAACGATCCTAACACACATACGACCATTATATTCCTAAAAATGCATATAAAAATGATCAGAAGGATTAAAACCACGAAAAACAGATATATTCCCTGGTTAATAACTTTCTTGTCTTTTTCCTCCAGAAATGTTCGACACCGAAGGCTTCATTCGCGAAATCGAGCAACACCCAGCAATTTGGCGCCAATATTCTGGCGACAATCGTGAGACAAAAATCTGCGAATGGCAACAAGTCGCCAGATCGATGTACCCAGAATGGAACGACTGGTCACCACTTCGCCAAAACGAAGCAGGTAATAAAAAAATACAATTTCTTCAAATTTAAATTAATTTATCCTGTCCAAATTAATACCCAACATCGGTTACCAAAATCCCTATATTCCGATATAATTATAGTTAATCTTGTAGTCTAATCAGCACATGTCAAAGGTAATTGCGGTAATCCAATTAAGGTAAGGATAATAGGATATTAATCTTTGGAAACATGATTGTATCGACGACGATATCCAATCGATTGTTATTAATAGACAGAGGGCTAGTGAAAGATTTACATCATTTTGCATCAAAAATTTGTCATCATTTACCCTAACATAAGGCTTGTATTGCAAAAATTCTAGGCCAAGAAGTTGAGTGTTTTCTGCTGCCCTTTTTCTAGTATACCGAGTTGTTGTAGAATTTTTTGATGTTAGACAAAATTGTAGATTATTTAATTTTGTACAAATTTTCCATATGTACTAGTTATATCCCATAAAAAGTTTAAAAGTTATAACTAATTTGAGTTACGATCAATTGCTTTAATAACTGCAAGTGTAAGTAAAAAAATGTTAAATGTATTTTCTGGAACAATTTAAGGGTCGATAGAGTTGTTGTAGGGTTTTTTGATGTTAGACAAAATTGTAGATTATTTAATTTTGTACAAATTTGCCATATGTACTATTTATATCCTATAAAAAGTTTAAAAGTTATAAATATTTTAAGTTACGATCAATTGCTCTAATAACTGCAAGTGTAAGTAAAAACAATTGTAAGTGTATTTTCTGGAACAATTTAAGAGTCGATAGAGTTGTTTTAGGGTTTTTTGATGTTAGACAATGTTGTAGATTATTTAATTTTATACAAATTTGCCTAATGTACTGTTTACATCCTATGAAAAATTTAAAAGTAACAAATAATTTAAAAATTCAAAAGTTATACGATTTGCAGTAAATAAATCCATAAATAACGTTCAAGAATTGCCCATATTTATTGTTCAATTTCAAATGCGATTTTAAAGTATACCGAGTTGCTGTAGAGCGTCATAATATTAGAATAAATTATAGATTAATCAATTTTACACAAATTTGCCAAATATTTTGTTTATATAAATCGAACCGTTCAAGTGACATGTACTTGCAAGAAATTTCATAAACATGTGACATGTACTTGCATATTTACTTTATATTTCCATTTTCTAACACAATTTATGGGTATACCGAGTTGCTGTAGGGCTTTATAATGTTAGAAAATATTGTAGATTATTTAATTTTCAACAAATTCGTCATATACATCATTCATATCAAAAATACGGTTTAGGAGAAAAATAAATTAAACAAATGCACCAACGAGTTGTCATTAGTAATGACTCATTACCATTACATTGTTATGTTATAGCACGTTCTGATGAAAAATCTACTTTAATTATAATTTTTAGGTATACCGAGTTGTTGTAGAGCATTATAATATTAGAATAAATTATAGATTAATCAATTTTACACAAATTTGCCGAATATTTTGTTTATATAAATCGAACCGTTCAAAAGTTACAAGAGATTAATGACTGACATAAATTACTTGTTTTTTCTAATGCCTGATTAATTTTTCTATTTTTAATTTTAATTAATTTATTCTATTTTTAATTAATTTTTTTAATTTTTCATTTTCAAATGCAATTTTAAAGTACACCGAGTTGCTGTAGAGCATTATGATGTTAGAAAATATTATAAACAATTCAATTTTATATATATTTGCAGAATATTTTATTTATTTTGGACAAATAGTTTAAATTTTTTCATTTCAATTTGCAGAATATTTTATTTATTTTGGACGTGGTAAATACTAAATAAATGTCCTAGAATGTAACGAAGCATTGAAGTTGGCTCATTGAGCGTTCTGATTAATAGTGCATTTTTAATTACGATTTTAAAGTATACCGAGTTGCTGTAGAGCTTTATGATGTTAGAAAATATTATAATAAACAATTCAATTTTATATATATTTGCAGAATATTTTATTTATTTTGTATCAATGAGTATGTAAATATTTCATTTACAATTCATTTTTGTTCTCGTTTCGCATCATAGCAGATGCTCCTTGAATTATTATCCGTTCGTTCCCTTTCATTGAAAATAAAACCGGTAATATTTTTCGGGATTTTTATATTCTTTTGTTAAAAGAATATATTATTATCCTTGAACGTCGGCGGTTCGAGTTTATAACAATGCACGACTTTCTTAAAGGACACCTGGAAGGTATTATGTTATTATTTTTGGCGAAGTAAATGACGTAATAGTAAAGCACAAATAGGTATATAATATTTGACAATATCATAAAGCCCTAAAGCGACTTTAAAATCGCAATTAAAAATATAATTATTCTGGCCGCGCGATGCATTTTATTCCGGGATATTTATACATTATAAATCTCGTAGCTATTAAACTAATTGTCTAATATAATTAAAATATTTGGTGAATATGTACAAAATTAAATAATTTATAATATTTTTTCGGTATACTTTGAAATCACATTTGAAATTGAACAATGAGTATGGGCAATTCTTGAACATTATAAGGTTATTTATGGATTTATTTACTGCAAATCGTGTAACTTTTAAACCGTTCATCTGAAACATATGAAATATTCGACTAAAATATACAAAATTAAATAAACTTCAATGTCTTCGAACATCATAAAGCTTTACGGCAACTCGGTATACTTTAAAATTGTATTCGAAAATCAGTTACATCTATATATGCGAGACAAGTGATTTATGTTTATGAAATCTCTTGTAACTTTTTAACGGTTTGATTTATATAAATAGTATATTTGGTGAATTTGTACAAAATTAAATAATTTATAATATTTTCTAACATCACAATATTCTACAGCAACTCAGTGTACTTTAAAATCGCATTTGAAATTGAACAATGAATATAGACAATTCTTGATCGTTATTAATGAATATATTTTCTACAAATCGTGTAACTTTTAAACCGTTCATCTAAAATATATGAAATATTTGGGTAAAATATACAAAATTAAGTAAACTGCAATATTTTCTAAGATAACAGCACTCTACAGCAACTCGGTATACTTTAAAATCACACTTGAATATGGAAATCAATATGAACTCCTTATATTTAATTCTTGTATCGTTTGAAATTTGCTCGATTAAATTAATCAACATGTGTTTTTTTTAATCAACAAAGACCCTACAGCAACTCTGTATACTCTAAAATTACCTCCTAAATATAATTTGAACCAAGAATAAAATTAATAATCAGATTTTTTTTATTCCCATATGTCTTTAGAAAAATATTGAGAGATTAAATTAAATTTGTTTTACTAGAAGAATTTGTTTTACTAGAGAAATTAAATTTATTATTTTATTGTTTGTTTTTTTCTTTAGGAAGAGAATTGCAGAAAAAGTGGAAAAACATCAAAGACAACTTCACAAAAGCCTTGAAAGACCAAAAGGCCCAAAGGGACAGCAGTGGGAATGTCAAAAAACGTCGAAAATATATTTATTTCGATCTACTGGCCTTTCTTCTAACAACCGACGTCAAAAAGTAAGTGAAATAAAAAACCCAGGAAGAAAAATTATTTTCATAGAATTTAATTACATATTTTGTAGTATGTCTTTAATTAAAACACTCTAGAGCAACTTTGTGTACTCTAAACTTGCAAAATAGATACTTTTGCAGACATACTTTTAAATTTATATAGACTATGAAGAATGACATATTTCATTATGTCGATGCGCTTCAGTATAACTCGTATAACTTTTAAACCGTTGCTTTAATATTATTGATGTATATGAAAAAATTGTGTAAAATTAAATTATCAACAATATTGTCTAATAATTTTTTAATTTAATTATAATCGATCTTTTATCCTCAGGGAAAATAATGAAGAACCCGAAGAACCAGATGAGATACCCTGCGACGCCCTCATGGAAATGCCAGTAGAAACCCAATTAGACGAAAACGTTCAATTTTTAGACCCCCAGATGCCAATAATTCATCGAGAGGCCGATGAAATCTCCTACAACCAAAACCACAACCTGAACCGAAGGCGAAAACGTAGGGTCCCTTATAGGCCCTTGGAGGAACGCCTTATAAAACTTTTAGACAAGAAACAGGAGGACACTGTTAAGAGTTCTGAGGACCTTTTGGACGAGGATAAGGCTTTCTTTGTTTCGCTTTTACCAAGTGTTAAGAGGCTGAGTGATGAACAGAGGATGGATTTCAGGTAGATGATAAAAGTTTGAACAAATCTCTCATATACATCATTCATATCCAACGAATGGTTCAAAAGTTATGCAATATGCACCTAAGCGAGTCACCAATATGGACTCCTGGCGTATAGTTTATTTTGAAGTTTCAGTTGCATTTATAAGTTTACCGAGTTGCTGTAGGATGTCATGATATTAGACAACATTGTTGATAATTTAATTTTGAACAAATTTCCCATATACATCATTCATATTAAACTAATTGTTTAAAAGTTATGCAATATGCACCAAAGCGTGACATCAATATAGACTCCTAGCATAGAGTTTATTTTGAATATTCAGTTGCATTTATAAGTATACCGAGTTGCTGTAGGGTGTTATGATATTAGACAACATTGTTGATAATTTAATTTTGCACAAATTTTCCATATACATCATTAATATTAAACTAATTGTTTAAAAGTTATGCAATATGCACCAAAGCGTGTCACCAATATGGGCTCCTAGCATATAGTTTATTTTGAAGTTTCAGTTGCATTTATAAGTACACCGAGTTGCTGTAGGGTATCATAATATTAGACAAGTTTGAAGATAATTTAATTTAGCACAAATCTCTCATATACATCATTAATATTAAACAAATTGTTTGAAAGTTATGCAATAGGCACCAAAGCGTGTCACCAATATGGATTTCTAACGTAGAGTTTATTTCAAAGTTTCAGTTGCATTTATAAGTATACCGAGTTGCTGTAGGGTGTTATGATATTAGACAACATTGTTGATAATTTAATTTTGCACAAATCTTTCATATACACTATTAATATTAAACTAATTGTTTAAAAGTTATGCAATATGCACCAGAGCGAGTCACCAATATGGATTCTTTGCGTAGAGTTTATTTTGAAGTCTCAGTTGCATTTATAAGTATACCGAGTTGCTGTAGGGTATCATAATATTAGACAATATTGTTGATAATTTAATTTTACATAAATTTCTCATATACACCATTGATATTAAACGAATGGTTCAAAAGTTATACAAGATATTCTAAAGGAAGTCATAATAAATTTCTTTACGCGTAGCACTAGAGTGAATCATTATAAAAAATTTATTCTTCACGTGAAGAGTAAAAATAAGTTTCAACTTTTAGTTCCATTTATGAGTATACCGAGTTGCTGTAGGGTGTTATGACATTAGACAACATTGTATATAACGTAATTTTGCACAAATCTTTCATATACACCATTAATATTAAACTAATTGTTTAAAAGTTATGCAATATGCACCAAAGCGTGTCACCAATATGGACTCCTAGCATATAGTTTATTTTGAAGTTTCAGTTGCATTTATAAGTACACCGAGTTGCTGTAGGGTTCCATAATATTAGACAACATTGTAGATAATTTAATTTTGCACAAATTTCCCATATACATCATTCATATCCAACGAATTGTTTAAAAGTTATGCAATATGCACCAAAGCGTGTCACCAATATGGACTCCTAGCATATAGTTTATTTTGAAGTCTCAGTTGCATTTATAAGTATACCGAGTTGCTGTAGGGTATCATAATATTAGGCAAGTTTGAAGATAATTTAATTTAGCACAAATCTCTCATATACATCATTAATATTAATCGAATGGTTTGAAAGTTATGCAATATGCACCAGAGCGAGTCACCAATATGGACTCCTGGCGTATAGTTTATTTTGAAGTTTCAGTTGCATTTATAAGTATACCGAGTTGCTGTAGAGTGTTATGATATTAGACAACATTTTAGATAATTTAATTTTGCACAAATTTCTCATATACATCATTAATATCAAACAAATTGTTTAAAAGTTATGTAATATGTACCAAAGCGTGTCATCATATAGATTCCTAGCGTAGAGTTTACTTCAAAGTTTCAGTTGCATTTATAAGTATACCGAGTTGCTGTAGGGTGTTATGACATTAGACAACATTGTATATAACGTAATTTTGCACAAATCTTTCATATACACCATTAATATTAAACGAATGGTTTTAAAGTTATACAATATGAACCAAAGCGAGACACCAATATGGATCCCTTGCATAGAGTTATTTTGAATTTTCAGTTGAATTTATAAGTATACCGAGTTGCTGTAGGGTATCATAATATTAGACAAAATTGTTGATAATTTAATTTTACACAAATCTTTCATATACACCATTGATATTAAACAAATTGTTTAAAAGTTATACAAGATACACCTAAGCGAGTCATCATTATGGATTCCTAGCGTAGAGTTTATTTTGAAGTTTCAGTTGCATTTGTAAGAATACCGAGTTGCTGTAGGGTTATATAATATTAGACAGCATTGTTGATAATTTAGTTTTGCACAAATCTCTCATATACATCATAAATATTAAACAAATGGTTTGGAAGTTATATGAGATGTACTAAAGCGCATCGACATAATGGAATTCTCCTTTAGTCTATATCAGTTTAAAAGTATGCCTAGAAAAAAATCTATTTTGCGATTTTAGAGTATACAAAGTTGCTCTAGAGTCTTATCATCAAAACAATTCTACAATGTTTAATTTCAAACAACTTTATCTAACACAACAATCACACTAATCGAATAGTTTAAGATTTACAAACGATACAATAATGCACTCAATTTGCAATACAATGCACTCGATTTAAATTCCTGTGTTCGATAACGATTTTTAAGTACACCGAGTTGCTGTAGGGCTTTAGTGTGTTAAAAAATATTATAGTATATTAAATTTTGAACAAATTCACCGAATATTTCATCAAAATCAGAAGAACGGCTCAAAAGTTACGAAAGATTTAATAAATAAAAGCACTATGGTAAAAATGGTATGTGGGAAATTGTTTTAAAGGGATCGTATTTACGACAATAAAGGTAGATCCATTTTTCTGGTATAAAATCAAAATTTCTCAAAAATATTATTACATTAATAATCCTAAAATTGCAAAACAATTTAAAACTATGTTTAATTTTAAAATTGGTTTATCCATTCTATGTAGAAAAAATATTTGTGATCTTAGACGACTTGCAGAGTCTTGTTTCATCCAACTATATTCTACTTGTATTAATAAAAGCAGTGTTTGTCTCTAACGATGACTCAAATCTACTGTCGAAACGTATAAATATACACTTCATAATAAATTCAATTCAATGATTGATCAATATTAAATTTCTATTTTTTTCTATTTTCAGATTGGACGTCCTAAATTGTCTAAAACGTCTCCACTACCAAAAACCACACGAAATGCATATTAAAGATAGTGGTTCCAGTAGTAGAAAAAGGGGTTCCCATTCCAACAGGAATCAGGAACCTTCAAGTTCCAACAATCATGCCAAAACTGGCGAAGATTATTCGTGAAAAAGGTAGCCTCGAACCAAAAAAAGTAAAAAATCGGTTTAAACATTGTATATAAATATTAGTAGCATAATAATAATTTTTATGATTTTAAATAAATTATTTTTATAGGTTTTAATAAATATGATTGAGACCAAATCTGATTGTTAAATAGCATAATGATCTCATTTATCACGTCACTAAATGTTTCCTTAATAATTGTAAGTTTTTAATTGTAAGGAGTAATTTTATATACAATTGTATGTATGTAATTTTACAAAAATATTAACAATTTTCTAATGTAACAAACAAATTTATTTCCTGCATAATTATTATAGATTTTTAATTGTTAGAAATAATTTTATATGTATGTGTGTATGTATATTATTATATATACGAGGTCTGTTCAAAAAGTACCCGGAATTTTCGTTTTTTTCAAAAAAATATTTATTTATTCGTCTACATTAATGTGGTCCCCTTCAAAGTAGTCCCCCCCAGATATAATACACTTATGCCAGCGTTTTTTCCAATTTTCGAAGCACCCTTGATATTCACTTTTTGATATGTCCTTGAGCACTCTCAGCGATTTTCTTCAATCGAGGAAAACCGCCGTCCTTTCATGGGTCTCTTCAACTTTGGGAATAGGAAAAAGTCACACGGAGCCATATCTGGTGAATATGGAGGTTGGGGCATGACTACGGTATTGTTTTTGGCCAAAAAATTACGAACAAGCAACGACGAGTGAGCAGGTGCGTTATCGTGGTGCAACAGCCATGAATTGTTAATGAATTGATATGCCAACTTCATCAGCAACTTCTCTAATTGTGATTCGGCGATCATTCATAACCATTTTTTCCACTTCTTTCACATTTTTCATCGTTTGTTGACGTGCTGGGTCGACCGGAGCGTTCGTCATCTTCAACGTCTTCGCGGCCATCTTGGAAACGCTTATACCACTCGTAAACACTTGTTTTTTTCATAGCAGACTCACCATAGGCTTTTTGTAACATTTCACACACTTTGTTACACTTTATTTCATTTTTTACGCAAAATTTAATACAAATTCTTTGACTTTTCAATTCTTCCATTGTAAAAATCGCCGAGCTCAGAAAAACACGTCGAACTTAGCGACTACCACAGACAAAGTAAACAGTGAATATAGCTGAAAATTTCATCATACTTTAGGGGCATGTATACCAACACAATAAAAAAAAATTTTTGACAATCAGACACTCCAGACCCGCGAAATTTAAAAATTCCGGGTACTTTTTGAACACACCTCGTATATGTATGTATATATGTATACATGTATGTATGTATGTATGAATTTTAAAAAATATTAATAATTTTTTAATGCAACGAACAAATTGATTTCCTTCATAATTGTAAGTTTTCATTGTAAGAAATAATGTTTAATGTATGTATGTGTATTTGTATGTATGTATACATGTATATATACATGTATTAAGTATGTATGTGTGTATGTATGAATTAAAAGAAACATTTTTCTTTTTTTAAAAAGATATTTGACAAGAATAAGAGTTTGATAAGAGGATCTGTAAAGGCTAAATTGAAATTAAAATGTTAATAAAATGTATTATTAATGTTTATACTTAAAAATGTATATAAGGACAATTGTTTATATTTTTAAGATGTAAATGACTCGATGAATAAACTGTATTTTATGTCAGAAAAACGTTTTTCAATACATATAATAACATTTTTATAAATTCAAATAAATTTTAAAATAGTAATTTTAATAATTACTATTTTAAAATTTAATTACAAGAATTATTTCCAATTAAATTCAATTACAAATTGTTATTATATTTAGTATAAATTGCATTGAAATTTATTTTAGTTATTGAAAGTAGATTTATTTTATTTAGCTATTTATTAAACAATGAAGAAAATCGTAAAATATAAGTAATTAATATTTACTTATATTCCACTTATAATCGTTATAATTTGTTATAATTATTATAATATTTAAGAAAAGTTGGATAAACAACTTTAATTAAAAAACAAATGTAGTTATTGTTGCAACTTGCAAGAGTATGTTATAATTAGTATTGTAACTAAAATTCTATAAAGTAAAATACTAATACTGAATGCAATTGAAAATATTAAAGAAAGTGCAAATATTATGAAGAAAATGTATAGAAAATGAAACTACAAACAAATCTACTTTCTACAATGTAATCATAAATAAAAAATATTCAAGTAAATCATCCTATTAAACGTAATTGAACATCATCGGTCAAAAACATTTGACATTTGACGTATTAGCCACCGTCCATTGTTTTATTCAAATTACGCTTCTACAAACATTTTCAAATTAAAAATGTAAAGTTTGTACGCGATTTTGAAATAATATCTCACCTTTCCGACAACCTACTGATTAGTACGAATTTTTCAATACTAAGACTGGCCAAATCGGTTTAGCTGTTTTCGAGTTTTACCGAATCATTTTATCGGGAGCTCCATTTTTATATAGAAGAAGATTATAACGATTTGTATTTTTGTTAATCTCACTTCAATATTTATAACAAAATATAACGATTTCTTAATTTCTTAATCTTCCTTCAATATATATAACAATTTGTATTTTTGTTACTCTTGCTTCAATCATTATAACAATTAATATTGTTATTATCTCTATAATTACGACAATTAGTATTACATTTACACTCATACCATTAAATATGTTTTTTGCTACAGTATTGATATTTCCATGCATTTTTTTAAAAGTTTTTTCATATTTTTTTCATTTTTTACATGTTTTTGTTTATTTTTTTATATTATTCATTTTTTCAAATAAAAAATAATAAAATACATTTTTTTCCAAAAAAGTTAATTTCCTTGCAGTTTTTAATATTTTTTGCTCATTTTTTTATTTTGTTACATATTCTCATTCTCATTTATTTTTTCATACATTTCTTTAAAAAAATGAGAAACAATTACATACATTTTATTAATTAGACATTTTTATACATTTTTTATATAATTTTCACGCTTTTTTTGTATTTTCACATGTTTGTTAAATTGTGTAGATTTTTACATTTTTTTTAAGATAGAACCCCTTATTTTTTTATTTTTTAAAATTCAAAAACGTTATTAAACAGAGAGCAAGTGCTATTAGAAACTCAAAATACCAATTTTTTTGAAATGTTAACATGAAAATGTACTTTATATTAATTTATAATTATATACTCATTGGTATTTATAAAATATTTTCTAGGATATATTATTTTTTATTTGTGTTATTTAAATTCAGAACCTAAATTTGGTATCGATCAAATGGACCTTTTGTCGAATAACATTTTTCCAGTTATATTTTCCCAGAATTTATCGCAGAATAGATAGTAATATATGAAGGTCCGGGGTTAAAAAGGTCCACCACGAATGTGTCAAAAACCAGTAAAGTTAAGCATTGTTTAACAACAATATTTGAAAGTAGAGGGAAAAAGATGTATAGCCAGCTACAAACTTGATTTGAAAACGATAATCTTTGAAATGGGGGAGATAAACGGTATGCTTTGGAAATCCATAATTAAAGTATTTTCTTCCGTTGGTAGTTTTAGCATTAGTTAAAAATGTAATTATTTTGTAAAATACCTTTAAAATTAAAATAACACATTAAACTTGTTTGCTAAGTTACTCCGCCTATAGGGTAAAAAGATCTAGATAACAAATTTTTGAAAGACATCAAAAAAGCACATTTCTACAATGATGAAGTAGCTGGCAGTTTTACTGAACGTAGTCAGATAATTGTTCGTTTGAAATGTGTTATTTGTGATATGATTGGTTTGCTTTTCATAATATAGTTTATATATGCTCAAAGTCAAATTGAACCTTTGTGCCTCGCCCTGCTCTACTCTATACTTTTTATTAAATTTACTTCAATTCATCGAATGTTACTTGAAACTTTTCAAAAAGCAGGTTAAAGAAGAAATACCTAATTCATTTTCTATCTCTCCTCGCAGAAATTTGAAAATTTTGTATTAGCTCAGTAGTATTATTTACAATTATACACAAAATCCTGAATCAAAAAAGAATCTGACAAACTTGAAACGTAATCAATATGTTGAAAGACCAAAAATGACTTGGATTGGATTATACCATGTTTTCTATAGAAAGTGTATAAAACTTCCAGTTTGATTGTATTGACGAGATATAGTCAAACTAATGGGATTTATTGTTTTGATAATACCTCATTGTATATAGCATTCAAACAACACATCCTATTCCTTATACACTTGGAAGTATTAATATTTTTGATTCTCTAGAAATTGTTTAAAAAATACCTTACTTAGCAAAACAACGTTTGCCGGTTCAGCTAGTTATTTATAATTTTATCACACCACTTTTATTATTACTACTGGTCACCAATATTTATTACCATCAGATCATCGGAGTGCGGTCGTCGTTGCAATTGACCGAAAACCGAGCGGATTGGAATCACAAAAGATTCATATCCCGAACTCATCATCTGGTAACAGTGGATCAGTAATGACCCTACTGATGACAAATTTACCGGTATACAAGTGGTATTCTATATACTAGCATTAGTGGTATTGCAGAACGTTTGTTCGAACTGTGGGAGCGATGTGGCGTTATCTTGTAACGGAATGGGGGACTAGACTTACGTGATGCGGTAGAGGAGATTAAATATACTGGGATTTGTAAGTTGAAATCTTTTTTATAATTATATTATATTATATTATATATATATATACATATATAGTAAATGGGAAATACGAGCAATACAACACTCAGATTTTCAACACACACTTTTTGGTAATTACAGACGTTTCGAGACCCCGGTATGCCTCATCTTCAGTGTAATTTCAAAAACAGTTATTTATATACTACACATTCTTTGATATTTGATTATATAAATGATATTTGATATTTCTGATTATATAAAATTATTATGTAATGATAAAATTATTATGAAAGTTCAAAAATACGTTTTTGATGAATTAATACAATTTTAGGAAAATTGTCAAAAATTCTAAAAA